GCCCGATGCCCCGAGCATTAGCTGCCAACCTATGAGGAGCAAGCACTGGAGGACCAGCTTACTCAGGAGCAGTTCGATAATGAGTTAGAAAAGGATTTAGAAGTGATGCTTACTCAGGAGCAGTGTGACGAGGAGGAAGGGGGAGCAGAAGGAAGAGCAGGAGAGGCTGCTGAAGGCAAAGTACAAGAGGATGATGATGATGATGACTCAGAAGAGAGATATGTAAATCCCGAGGATCCTTTCCCATGTGAAGCCAGAAGGAGGCCAACGGAAGAAGATTTGGACAAGGATTTTGACACGAACAAGGAGGTAGGGATAAACCCTTAGCTTGTAAATTTTGCTAAAGCTTTGGCTGTGTTACCTCTGCTAACACTTTGATCTATAGTATATATAGGTCCCTCCTGAAACTTAGAAAAGACAACGTCGACGTCCGCAACATCTCGCCGGACAAGACGGAGTAGAGAAAAGGAGAGCAGAGGCAACAGCCATAGAGACGGACATTGAGGCCTCTACTCCACAACCTAAAGACACAGCCTCCTGAAGAAGGTGATGCACAAGAAGATAATGACGTGCCTGAATGGGAACTCTTAATGACATGCAGACATGCTTTCACCTCGGAGTAATGGAGATGAATCTAATTCACACGTGGTGCCTGTAAGTCCTTGTCCTCCCGATATGATATGAATGTATCTTTGAATTTTGTTGTAACTAACCCATGCCATGATTTGTAGAATGCAAGCGCACATTGTAAAACAAATGCCAAGTGTGAAAGCCAGGTATATAGACCCTCAAGCTATAGCACAAACAAATTTTAATTATCCTAGACAGTGGAAACTGGATGACAAAGAGCTAGCTGCTGGAAAGATCCTTTGGGAGAAAGAGGACATCCATGCAAAGAAACTAAGGTAAGAGTCCCTTAAGGTTTCGGCATACATTGCCCTGGCTTTTAAAATTCTCTAACAACACTCTACTATATGGCTACCATACAACTTTAAGTAAGTTCAACTCTATACTAAAAGCCTTGTTCGATATATTTTATTCGATGTAAAAGAGCTTATCTAGTTCTATGATTAAATCCATGCAGCAACCACTGGATTTGTATAGGCGTCGATGTCGGGAGGAGCATGGCATGGGTTTTTGATTTAATAGATAGGGATCCGGTGATATACAAAGACTTCGTATCGATTCTCAAGATGTATACATATTGACAATCATCATTAGCTTATATGTTTATATACATACTTGTAACGCTCACTTTTGGATACTAACAAGATGCATTTGCTAAAATAATTCGAACAGGGCACAGGTTCTATGTCAATCAACATCACGGAAGACATGATCCAGTAAGGAAGGAAAGGCTGGCTATAAAAACACTATGTGTGGTAAGTGTAACTTACTTTAGTACTTTATTACATGGCTGCCAAAAGCATTACTTAATATTTCATATGCAAAACACACAGTGCCCCAAGCAGAAGCCTAAGAGTGTATATTGTGGATATTATATATGTTCTATGATGAGTAACATCGGTGCCTACAGGAGACACCCTTTATGGGTAAATTTGAACCTATTCACCCGTAGTATAAAACTTCGCATATGATATGAAATACTAAACCGAAACATGTTCTCTTGTAGTGGAAAGAAGAGAAAGAAATAAAAAGAGACCCATACAAGGATGACCAACTCTTAGAACTCGTCGGCGACCTTTGCAACTTCATATTGGACCAGATTGTACATGTCAAAGGCACCTACCATGATCGAGATTCTGACTTAGGTAGAAATCCTCAGTACCAACACATTCGTGAGACTGCGGGCCTGTTCGGCTGGTATTAAAGTCGGCTGTTAAGCCGGCTGAAACTGTTTTGGTGTGAGAGAAAAATACTAAAGATTCTAGCTGATAAGCCAGTTGATAAGTTCAAGCGAACAGGCCCTGAAAAACTAGCTCTAGGCCGTTGATAACAATATGTATGGAATTTGACATTGGTCTTATCTTGTGGGAGCTCCGCCGCGCACCTCACCGCGGTGCTGACTCCGCCGCGCCTCTAGATCATTATCGTCGACCCGCGCCACCGCTGTCCGTGGTGACACCTACGCCATAGCTACCAAGGTGCCACCCTTGGCCCACCGGTGAACTCGCCGTGAGTGCACGAAGCCGTAGAGCCTCCTAGCAGCCCTGCCTACCCACCCTAGCGCGAGAACACGTGAGATCGCCGCCGACGAGAAGCGCCGCCGTGAGACAGAGAGGAGAGAGAGCTGCTACACCACTGTCGCCCCGTTCACCCCGTGTGCCAGGGAGAAGTGGAACGAATTAGACTTGTGAATTAATGATGGATTGTATATATTCTTGTGAATTGGATTAGTAATGGTAGTTTATATAATATTCTTGTGCTTATGGTCAGATTTGAATTATATATGTTCTGGTCAGATTCAAATTAGATATATGTGTGTGTGTTTTCTGGTCGAATTTGAATTGTAAATTTGAATTTTTTTGACGAAAAAATAAACTGTAGGGGCGGTTCTAGATTGAACCACTCCTGGCCGCCCCTACAAATCGATTTATAGGGGTAGTATGAGAACCGTTCCTATAAATCGGCGATTTGTAGCCACGCTTTGGTAGGGGCGGCTGGCCAAACCGCCCCTACAAATGCCTATTAGCCGTCCCTATAAATCGCATGTCACATAGTGGATGCATGGCTGTATGTACTTCACAGGGAACCACTACCAACGGCCCTATATGTACTTCACTTATGCTTTGTGTACTTCTCAGGAGCCTCTAGCAATTCCACTGTGGGTTATAGGGATATCTTCAAATTGCTCAATGTGTCAATGTCTATGTCCTAAACACACAACTGCTTGTGGTTTGGAAGAGGAGCAGTTTACCAAATTGGACATAATCAGACATCAAAGGTCAATAAATACTTAACACAATAGCACATACTGCATGTGGTTGTTGGGGTGTCTGTTTCAGGAAGTTTTTGTTGAGGTGGTACAATCAAACAGAGAGGATTTGAGAGAATAATCTGGCCATTCAAGTAGATGTGCAAGCCAACGTCATGGACATCAAGAGCCGAGCACAATAGACGCACGCACTGTTTGCCGAAAATGGCAGGTACTTGAGACGTGCGCTGCGGGCGTTACCCGTCGACTGCAACCCGGCGGCTGCTCCACTGACAAGCGAGCCCCGCGACGTGAAACCTGGCCACGCTGCCACACTGGCCCGCCGCGTCGGTACTCGATACTGTTGCTCATGTGGACTCGGTTGGAGTGCTGGTTGACGACGACAAAATGCTGGTCCACGAGGAGGGCCCGTGGACCGGAACCACGCAAGCACCTGTGATTGCAAGTGTGCACATGGTGTCGACATTGCATTAGCGTGGCCAAAAAGGACACAGTGATTTCTCCCCATGAAAAATATGTCAGTATACAGCAGTTTGCACTTTGCAGTCTGCCCCCCTGATGTGGATGTCTCATTGTCTGCATTGCCTCATGCTCTCGTCCTCGAAATCTTTAGAAGGATGCGTCTTTAATCCACTTTTACGAATTTATTTAGGAGGTCCTCGACGCTAAAACACGCTGCACACGCTAATATTACAGACTTTTTGTTTGGCCTGTTCCAACCTAGGGCCACTTAAAATAAATCATGACATTCATAGCGCTGTTAGTCCGCACCTAGATATATGTTATGTTCGGCTTATCTTATATTTATTTAGTTCGGTTTTTTTTTTCCAGGCGAAATAGTGTTTTTCTCTCACAATATTTCAGTCAGAACAGTATTTTTTTTCACCAAGTTCGAACGGACCACAGTGACTTTAACAATCGATTTGTGAATACAGTCGATCGAAGGTGCTCGTCGGTGTAGTTGCCAGCTCGGCCTTAGTCAGTCTCGTGTCATGATTATTAGTCGCATCTCGTGATGTGCTATTTTGTGCTCATACGGCCATACTAGTGTGGTTCAGAGTGCAGACACAGTGTACAGTACACGATCTGTGGAAGATTCGTGGACGCATGAGCCCGTGAGAATCATCAGAATATTTTTGTTTTTGTGTTGCCACCACATGTCCACATCGGTGAAGAATCGCATACATGAACATATTATTAATTAATACCCATGATCCATCCCAGTAACCATCTATATCATGCAACACGCCGGAATTTCACACCGAAACCGGTACAGATCATGGGGAAATTAAAAACCCGGCGTTCTGAAATCTCAAGGCCTGCAAGTGGAAGTAAATCCTAGGATGCTGAAGAAGAAGAGAAAAGAAGAGATCATCCGAGAGAGTGAGTAGAACAGAAGAAGAAGAAGAAGAAGAAAGAATTGAAGCAGTGAATGAAGACGAGCACCTGTAAAGAACAGAACAGATCAATCTGTTGATTTTTGTGAAAACGCTTCTCTGTTTGGATTGGATAGATAGTTGGATGCATGCACCATGGAGAAAAAGCAAAGCATGCACTGCATCATATATAAATCTAGCTAGATCGACCGCCAGCGAAGGTGCGTGATTCGAGAGCTGATGATAGGATAGCAACCGATGATCATATATATATGCATGATACGTCGGATTCAGGGCGGGCAGAGACTGAGGGCCGGTTTAGATCCGAAAATTTTGACAAAATGAGTACTGTAGCGTTTTCGTTGTTATTTAACAATTAATGTCCAATCATAGTCTAATTAGGCTTAAAAGATTCGTTTCGTAGATTTCGTCTAAACTGTGTAATTAGTTTTATTTTTTATTTATATTTAATGCTTCGTAAATGCGTCTAAAGATTCGATGTGACGAAAAATCTTGAAAATTTTGGGAGAGAACTAAACAGGGCGCTAAATGCCTGTATGTATCATGTATGCGTGGCATGCATCCACGTAGATGAACCAACATAGCAGCCACAGTGCATGCTCTGAGCATATTACATACTAGCTGTGTGTGACGTGTGTGGTGCGTGGCGCGCCAGAGCTAGCTAGCTAGCTGCATGCCTGGATCATCAATTAATCGCCTCCCCTCGATCAGGAGGCCGTGGCGACCGTGCCGGGTTTGTCGGAGCCCGCGCCGCTGGGCGGTAGCGGCACCACCGGGTCGGACGCCGGCGGCGGCGTGGCGAGCGCGCACTTCTCCTTCCACTCCTCGATCGTGATGTGCTGCTGCCGGCACTCGAGGCTGCAGAACGCCGTGTCGCCCCTGCAAGCACCACGCCCACGCGGCGGCAGATCCATCCATTGATTTTTATCCTTGCATACGAGAAAGAGAAACGAAAGGCAGCATACGCAGCACAGACAGTTCCCAGTTCCGTACCTGTACATGAAGGTGTCGCGGCCGGGTCCGAGGCGGCGGTTGCAGAGCCCGCAGGCGCGGAGGAACGCGGCGGTCTCGGCGGCCGAGAAGTCGGCCGAGTTCCGGCGGAGCCCCGCCAGCGCCGGCGCCGCGCGGGCGCGGTACGCCGCCAACCAGTCGGCCCGCCCGGCCGCCGCCGCGCCGCCGATGGCCCACCCGTAGGGGTCCGCATCCAGCTCGGCCGCCGCCTCCCCTGCTGCTGCTGCTGCCTCCGCGTGCGCCGGCAGCAGCTGCAGCTCCTCGTCCTCCTCCTCCGCCACGTCCGCCAGCACGTCCGGCGCCGCGAACTCCGTCATGCTCGTCGTCCGCCGCATGTGGTTCTGCTGCTGCCGCGCCGCCGCCGGCGACGGGCGCCCGGATCTCTGCTTCCCCAGCATCATCTCCTCCCCTGCCCTGTCTCTACCGTTCTTGTATACTATATAGTACTCCTATATATATGGCTACCCTCACCCTGAACGATATATCGACTGAACCTATGTACGGCTATTTACTACGTACTCCTACTTGCGGCAGCTGGGAGGGAGATGTGCCGAGGTGAAGAGGCAGAGGTGGTGGTCGCCATGTCTATGGCCGAGGGGAGGGAGAGGCCAGTGGCAGACTGGCAGTGGGTGAAGAAGGGGAGGAAGAGAGTGTGCGTGTGGTGGGAGAGGGAAGGAGAGGAGGCGGGGTGAGATAAAAGGAGGCCAGTGGAGGAATCGGGGCCGTTGAAAGGAATCTCCCGGATCCATCGGATCCACGTCAGCCCCCACTAGGGGATTATTCCCCGGGCCTATTTTCTCTTCCATTTGCTGATTTGTTGTTATTGATTGATGGGAGTTTTTTTTTTTTGCTATATATACTTGTAATATAAAATGCTTATGATGAGATGACCAGGTTTATACAACGTACTACAATTGCTTCACATTGTTTTGGAGGAATGGAGGGCACTCCTTTAAGGTCCGTTTGGCATTATATACTGTATTGTCAAAATCTACGGTACGACAGTGTTACGAAGTTATATTGGAATTGGAAGTATATACATTATGTACCAGTACCACTAGCACACAAAATGTTTTTGTAGACAGTCAAAATTGATTTCTATGCCATCGATGGTAGAAATTAATCATTTTTAGATATAGTTTTGAAACTGCTCCTAAAAATCTATTTGCAGATATAGTTTTGTTGAGTCAAACATCTCTAAAAATATACTTTTAGGATGGTTCTGCAAAGCTAGCACCATTAACTAAGTCAATTGTCTCTATATTTTTTTTAGATTTTTCAAAAATCCAAAAAAAAAACAACCGCTCTAAATTTATTTTAGATTTTTAAAAAAATCTACGCTGTCTTAGCTATCGCAAATTTTAAAGTATTGCGCACAAGTGCATTCGTGGGATTCAAATCTGTGACATCTTGCATTTACCCACTTTTCTACCACCACACCACCATACAGTCACTTGACCAAGCATAAAATACTACCCTTTTGGATTAACATTTATGAATCTTGTATTGAATATTTTAGCTTCTAAATAATCTTAATGAAAAAATCAACCATAGTTTTAGATTTTGTCGGCCACTACAACTTTAATATAGAGTGTGTCTCCATCTGAGGTCATTGTCCCAAATGAGAAATATGTTAATTATAAAGTTTTAAATCTTGTCGATCTCTTTAACTTCATATAATTTTTTAATTTCAAACAAATTATTTGTTATATATCTAAAAACCATATTTTTAGGAATGATTACCTTAAGCTAATTAACCACATCTAAAAATGGATATTTTTTGGGTTGTTTATTTAACACAACCACCTCTAAAAATACACTTCTAGGGACGATTTGTAGTGTACAATGCTTCCGGGCCTAGTTAGAAACTATTTGCTAAGTGGATCACCTCTGAGAAAATAGGAGGCAGCTATAACGGAGTAGCTACCCAACTCTAGTAAGCTAGTACTAAACTCCAGTTAGTGAACAATGAGGTAGCTATTATTTTTCCTTTTTATATTATATGTATATGATGTCACTTCCTAGCTTCTACCCTCTATTTTAATCTTTATATGATGTCATTTTCTAGCTTTCACAAAATTCTTAGTTAGGCAATGCATCAAAATCTACAATATCAATTATTTTATTAAATTATCTATGAAATATATAGGTCTTGATAGTATATTTATTGGACCTTGTATATATTAATATATTTTTCTAAAAATCCAATGTTTTAAATTATGGGCTAAGACATTTAGCGGCAGCCTCCTTCAAAAGCTATAAGAATTATAAATAGAAGTTATTTCATTCGGTGGTTTATAGGAAACGCGACAATTCTTAAATAATTATGCACAAAAATATTAAACTATGTAAAATTTTATGAAGGCAAATACTTTAATACTTGTATAGCCAGGAAACATGCTTGCACTTGTAAGTGCATCTAGTCTTTTAGTAAGTTTTGATGATTGAATGACAACAGGATTAAAGGTCTATTGGACAGGAAATAGATTGCCGCACATAACTTGATTTAAATGTATAAAGCCAAAATGATGTGTTATTGTATAGGCATTCTAACTCAAACACAAGACAACAATGCAAATGAAATTCATGCAAAGGCTTATATACTGTGGGACTTCTATAGTTCATATGAAAGAAAGCATATTGGGATTAAATAATGAGACATGAGGTGTTGCATATGGAATGGTCTCATTTGGAGAGCTTGCTACGATATCAATATTGCTATATATGGTTTTCATCAAACATAATTCTTTGATTCAAATCATGGTGTGACTTGGATTTGCTTGAGAAGATGGAGATAGCAAGGAAAGGGCTTCGAAGGACCAAGCATAGGTGATGAGCAAGCGATGGCGGCTTGGGCGTCGTGACCCATCACTGTGGTGAAGAAGAGAGTACTTGCATTTAGTTTGTCATTGATCAAGTAATTAAAAGGGACTTATATTATGGAATGAGTCAAATCTTTGTTGGATCATTTGATGGAAGTCACTTGATACATTTGGAGTTATTCACATATATTGAATGGAATCAAGTCTCACATGCTCAAAATGGCTATGCTCAAGAAGAAAATCAAAATGGACATGTTGGCACCCTCTATTGATGAAGAATGAAAATGATGGCAAGGCGTTGCAAGAGGTTAACTCAAGTGGTTAAAATTTCTTTTCAGTTAATCTTGAGTAAATAGGTATGTTGTACTATTAAGAGGGATGCAACATGATGATAGATGATTATTCATAAGTGCTCAAGTCAACCCATGTGAGAATAGAGAGAAGAGTGCCATGTGGCCTGGTCTAACTTGGGTATGCTATGGGCAGTCATACCGGACATGTCTGGCATACATGCCCCCGGTGCTCTGTTGTGTCTAGAATTTCCAGGCTTTGGGCTATGAATTTCTAGACAAGGGTTCTCTGTTTAGTTAAGTCATTTTGGCACACTACAGTGCATCCAGTATGCACGTCCAAAGCCCAATGGCTCCCTAACAACTAGTTTTGAAAGTGGGGTATTTATACCCCCAAGCCCTCTCCTTTGAGGGCTGCTGATTCTGCTGATCCTCACACACATTTTTGAGCCTTGAGAACTCTCTCCAACCGTCTCTTAGTGAATTTATTATCCCTATTGCTAAATTCAATTTGTGGGTTGAGTGAAATTCAAAAGAGAGCAAAGCCAACTCTTGAGCACTTGTGGCGTTCATCGATCTCGTGATTCGCATTTGTTACTCTTGGAGCTTGCTCCTAGACAACTAGGAGTCACCGGAGAGCAACCAAGGATTGTGGTGTGCCTCAGCAAGTTTGCAAAGTCTTCAATTTCGCCTCCGCAAGGGAAGGAAACAAACTAGTGGTTTGAGGGAAGCGGTTGAAAGAGACTACGGCTAGAGTGGATCCTGGAGTGGTCACTTGTTGCCTCCTCAATGGAGAGTAGGACTCGAAGGAGTCAGAACTTCGGTAAAATAAATATCGTATCTCAATTGTATTTCATTTGATATTTGTTTTGTCTCAATCTCCTTGGGTTGTGCTAGCTTGTGTGCAGGTTTATTTGTGGTGGCACAACCCTCTATAGGCACTTGGAACAAAGATTGAAGTTTGGAATCAAAAGGAAGTAAGATTGGAGCCTACTGTTTTCTGTCTGTGCAAACCGGACATGTCCGGTAGACCTACCGGACAAGTCTGGTATTGAGGGCCAGCATAAATTTGTTTATCCTATGCCCTAATCTTTTATGTTGCGGATCTTTGGTTCCTAGGTTTATTTAGTATCTTTCATATACTTTGTGGTTTACTCACGAGGGGTTGTATTACTCTGATTTGCCCGTTCTAACTGTTTTCGTATTTTAAAGTGTAAATTTTCAGAAACACCTATTCACCTCCTCTAGCCGGCATCCTAGTGTCCTTTCAGCACATCTATTACTTAACATTCACCATATCAATGAACATACTCACGGGTGCGTTCAACATCAATATTATTCAATATTTAATGATCGACAACTTATAATAGTGTTCAATGATTTATTATATCATTTATTACATAAAAACGTAACAAGATTATAGTCGTTTTGATTAAGGAGTGGATACTTGCCTTGGTTAGGATTAGCACTGTTAGATATTTTCCATGACCAAGTAAATAGTAGTGACTAGCGGAGCTAGCTAAAGTGTCATTAACAGCAATAGCCGAACATTGTAGTGGTGGACTCTATAGAAAAACTATAGTGAAGCTATAGCATTCAGTTAAATTTAGATAAATTTAACTTAGGATAGAGATAAATTAACTATAATTTAAAATGGATAAAACTACATTAATCAATATCTCTAATTATCGATGACACGATACTAGAAACCGGCTAAAAAACACATAGAACGCCACTCAATTCATGGATGCCGTATTTTCTCCATAAATTTGAAACAGTATGATCCCAAAAAGAAATATATGAGACCAAATGCGCATTGTGTGATGCAGCGGCCACAATCAAGCTAATTATCATTAAAACTAAAATTAAGAAAAAATTATGAAGCATAAATGCGGTTGGAAAAAATTACCTGAAGGTATCCGTGGCTTCGACTCCATCATTCTCCTTGTCTACTGGGAGCTCAGGATGGAGCGGAACTGTAGGACATTCCAAGCCGAGGCGTTGTCACCAAGCTTGCTGCTCCTGCGGATTGTCGATGAGGCCAACGCCTGGTTGCGGGGCGGGGTTCGGTGCTATGCCGATCTTCTTGGTGCGTGGTAGTTAGCTAGCTTTGCTTTCTTAGTCGCTCAGCTGTTTCTTGTATAATCGAGTTATGTGTTAACTGCCCGCGTCTAGCACAATGGCACCTCGCCATTTGGTGCCAGTCGCTTTGTAAACTCCAAAACTTCTTCTTAATGAAACACGTGCTAAGCACGTTCTCGAAAAAAAAACAGGATTGTTATTTTCATG